ACACTGCCTTTAAAAAAAAAAACTGCAAAAATTAGCCAGCCATGGTAGTGCATGCCTGTAGTCCCAGCTACTCGGGAGGCTGAAGCAGGAGGATCACTTGAGCTCAAGAAGCAGAGGTTGCAGTGAGCAAAGATACTGCCACTGCACTCCAGCCTGGGAAACACAGCGAGACCCTGTCAAAAAAAAAAAAAAAAAAAAAAAAAATTCCATAACAATATTTGGAGCAGGGACCTAGATAGTAAGTCATCCTCTCCAGCCTAGGGCAGAGTATCCACCTATTGAGTAAAGGATGCTGCATCACCCCCGGCTCCCATAAACACTGCAGCCTCAGGTTTCCTGTTGCCACTCTCCTCCCTATCCCACAGCAAGCTGTGGAATATGTGGTGAAATGAGCCACAGGCATGACTAGAGCTCCACCTGCTTTGGGAGAGCCCTCCTTTCTCTGAGCACCTCCAGAGTCCTCAAAGATGTTAACTGAACTTGGTTGCCATGTGAGGGACATAGCAACTTTGAGAACCTGGAACATAGGTCCTGAGTCTCTTAAGCTGTTGAGACAGGGAACAGGGAAGGGAACAGGCAAGCAGGGCCTCTGAAGACTTGAAACTTGGGTGGGCCTCCACGGAAGGTGATAAGTGGGAGAAGTCAGGATACATAGGGGCCCTCAGGTTGGACCGCAGGATTCCAGAAGGGAGTGAACACAGAAGCTTGATCTTCCCCCTCTCCAGCCTTCACCCAGATTGGGAAATCTAGCAAAGTCCTGAATGTTCGCTAATATTCCCAATCGGGACAGCCCTGACAAGACAGGGAACAAATGTTTGTCAGGTGGATGATGGGAAGCAAATCCTGGGGCTCTTTAACTAGCCTTGCTTACCAAATCCTCACAATAATCCTGAGACAGGCGGAGAAGGCATGTTTACCTCCATCACTCAGAGTCAGCACCTGAATTAAATCCCAGTCCACACTCTCATCCTTTCTCATCGCAGCTGCAGACTTGGGAAGGGGATGCGGGGAGGCTGGTTGAGGCATTAACCCATTTACAATTGTTTTTCCCCAATAAATGAACTTTTAAAAGTTTTAAAAATTTTGAACTACTGGGGATAATGTACTCAAGTAGAAACTCTTATGGTGAAATTCTAGGCACTCAGACCTTTAAAGAAATTGTGCAGAATTGGCCCCCGTTTTAGAAAAGACTAGCAGCGTTTCCCTACGTATAAAAGGCATTTTAAAATTCCTTCCTGGCCTGCAGAAGCGCTCAGTGCATGTTAATGACACCTGCCGCACGCAGCCTCCTTCGTTCCCGGGCTTCTCCACCCTCCATTCGGAAAAGAAAGCGCCGGAAGAGCTAAGCCCCACCCACTTGGGAGTAATCTCCCCTCTCCCCGCCTCTTCTCTGTCACGCCTGCGCAGTTCGCTCAGCTCGAGTCCCCTTCCCCCAGGCGGCCCCGCGTAGCCGTCAGGGCACAGGCGCAACTCCGCCTCCTCACGCCCCTCTCTGGTCGGGCCCTCCCCCTGGATCTAGCACCGCCTCTTCCGCGTTCTCGGAGGAGCGATCAGCAGATAGGGGTGCGCGCGACCGCTCCCCGGCGGGAGCCAGCGAAGGTAAAAGCGAGACCTGCGAGGTATTCCTCCGAGCTAAGTGGGGCCGGGGTCTGTGAGTTCGTGTGCCCGGAAGGGGGCAGTCAGGGCCTTCACGGCGGCCCGAGGTCACGACCCGATTCAGCTGCGGAGGGACAGCCTAAGGGGACGCTTTTCAGGACTGTCTCGAGCTGTCTACGACCCGTCGGGGCTCCGCTTGTGCCTGGGGTAGGGGCGCGGCCGGTGTCCGAGATGGCGCTTACTCTGTGGCCCGTTTGAGACTCAGTCTCTCCCAGGGATCAGGACCGAGGCTATGGCTGGGCACAGGGCTCAGGCAGTCCAGTGTCATGAAGTTTTTCACGTGAGGAATTTGAGAAATCTGTGTACTGCGTTATTTTTAAATTAATTGTTTTCGTTTATTTTCAGTATGTGAAGGCTCCTGCCTGTGTGGGTGGCTGTCCACAGGGAAAGGTAATAAGAGTGTCAGGTGCACCCTGTCTTCCTAGAGAGCTCCAAGCTCCCTGTCAGTGGCAGATCAGAGGCAGGCAGGCTCACAGGAATGAAGTGTGGTTAGAAGTGCTCAACTTCAGGGTCAGGGAGTCCTGGGTTCAGATCTCATCTCTTCCACCTCTTAGCTGTGTGTCCTGGGGCAAGTCCGCTTCCCCTCACAGAGCTTCACTTTCTTCCCTAGGAAATGGCCATAATAGGGTCCATTGTGAAGGTTGAATAGGATTATATGGAAGTCACCTAGTATGGCACCTGTTATGTAATGGGTGCTGAATACATGGTAGCTGTGATTTCTAGGAGCTCAGTCATTTTGGATTGGGGTACTTTAGAAAGGCTCTGAGAGAAGAGTTGACGTGACCTGGGCCTTGAAGCCTCCGTGGGATTTACAGATGGAACTGACCCTGCAGAATGGGAAGGGCACCACTGTCCATGTGCCAGGCACATGCTGGACAGTAGGTGTAGCGTCTCACTGGATCACCACCCATCAGCCGGGTGATTTCAGCCCACTCTCCTTAGCTTCAGCCCTTCATTAGAGGGCGGCTGGAAGTGATGTGAAGAGGAAATCTAGGGTTGGGTTTTATATGGAACTGAGCCAGCTAGAGGCTTTGGTGCCCCCTCTGCCCATCTGCTCCCACCTCAACGCTTCTCTGTCTGTAATCCAGAGAGTTGGTCAGGAGTTCTGTTACTCTGGTATCTTGCAGATATTGACAGTTGTGGGAGATGGCAGCTCAGATTGCATGAAGCCAAGCCATGGGAGAGGGAAGCTCTGTGAGCAGGAGCTGTCAGAGCCCAGCACGTGTTTAGGAAGTGCATGTGGTCTCCTGTAATGTGGTCCCAGAGTAATTTAATTACTTGGTTCCTTTTGCATCATCTTCATGGGTGCCCCTGCGCTCTTCCTGAGACACTGCTCGGAAACCTTGGTGGGCATCACTGCTTACTTTATAGAGCAGTGGTATCCAATCTTTTGGCTTCCCTGGGCCACATTGGAAGAAGAAGAATTGTCTTGGGCCACACATAAAATACGCTAACACTAACAATAGCTGATGAGCTTTTTAAAAAATTGCAAAAAAAAAAATCTCAGTGTTTTAAGAACATTTACGAATTTGTGTTGGACCACATTCAAAGCCATCCAGGGCCGTGGGTTGGACAAGCTTGATGTAGAGTTTAGACTCCAGCCTCAGACAAGTTCCTCCACCATTTGTTCCCAAACTTCTCCCCTCCTTGTTTCCCCTGGTTTTCCCAAACCTGCAACCTGTGGTCCAGTCAAAATAAACTAGTTGTCTCTGTTTCTCCTTTTTTTGAGATGGAGTCTCACTTTGTCACCCAGGCTGGAGTGCAGCGGCGCAATCTCGGCTCACTGCAACCTCTGCTTCCCAGGTTCAAGCGATTCTCTGCCCCAGCCTCCTGAGTAGCTG